TCCGACTCACCCCCTCCCTGACCCCGCCCCCCTCTGACAGCCACATTGGACCGGCAGCCGGAGGTGCTCATCCCGAGAAAAAAATCCGTGGTTTATACAAAGCACAATGTTTTCTATCCAACTGTCTGTTGTAACCTGAATGTTATTGCTCTCTGCTGTTTATTCTACTGTTTGTCGCATGGCGCCGGAAAGATGGCGCCGTGGCAAGAGCTCTGGTGTGTGTCGCCTTCTCTGTCTGGCACACACCGGGGTAGTCTTGCACAGTTTTTCCAATGTGGTTTTACTGCAAATGGCAAATAAATGAATCTGAATCTGAAAATCTGACGTCACACAAAACAACTGATGTCATAGAGAACTTCAGAGTCAATGAGAGGCCAGGACCAAATTCAAATGTAGTACCACCAAAAAGGTAGCGAGGGCGCCACACAGCGTTTTTTGGCTCAAAAGTGATATTTTATCTAATTTGAACTAAAATGTCAAAAAAAATGACCAGGATATGTAGACAGCACTACAATAAACATACTTATGCAGTTTATGAGTTAAAAAAAGTTGATTCGGTGTTTAGTCGCTCTTTAAGAAGGTTTTATTCGTCCCACAATGGGGAAAGTTCAGTTTGATGCATACACATAAACACACATCAAGGCATCACTTCCGCGCCCCTTATAGGCAAAGTGGGTTAAGTGTCTTGCCCAAGGACACAACGACAGCAGACATTCATTGGTGGAGAAGGTATTGTGTTGGGCTCGAACCCACGACCTTCAGGCTCAAAGGCCAATGCTCTACCAACTGAGCCACTGTCGCCCCGATAAGATATCTATCCTAATCTGAGTTCATTCTGACTGTGTTTAAACAATATTCTCCAAGAACTTCAGGCAGACATTTCCAAATCTTTATAAAACTACATCATTTTGCTTTGTCCCGTTGGAGAACGTTGTTTTAAAGGAGCTATACCCGTTTCTGGAAGGTTTGAATGTTTAGCCCCGCCCCCAACTCGCTCACAGGCTTATCATTTCCCCTACGCTCTCCTCCCACGGAACCTTCTAGTTTTATTTGCGATCTGATGCTAACATTAGCATTAGCACAACTTCATCTATCACTGATGAAATGGTACTAGAGCAACGCACTGCTAACACAATTTATAACTGAAATATTACCGCTAGTTTCACGTCCGAGTGTAGTCGGAGCATAGATGGTCCAAGCATAGATAGTCCGAGCATAGATAGTCCGAGCGTAGATGGTCCGAGCGTAGATAGTCCTAGCATAGATAGTCCGAGCGTAGATGGTCCCCGCAAAGATGGTCCGAGCGTAGATGGTCCGAGCACAGATAGTCCGAGCACAGATAGTTCGAGCATAGATAGTCCGAGCACAGATAGTCCTAGCATAGATGGTCCGAGCGTAGATAGTCCTAGCATAGATGGTCCGAGCGTAGATGGTCCTAGCATAGATAGTCCTAGCACAGATAGTCGGAGCGTAGATAGTCCAAGCATAGATAGTCGGAGCGTAGATTGTCCTAGCACAGATAGTCGGAGCGTAGATAGTCCAAGCATAGATAGTCGGAGCGTAGATAGTCCTAGCACAGATAGTCCGAGCGTAGATAGTCCAAGCATAGATAGTCCGAGCGTAGATAGTCCAAGCATAGATGGTCCGAGCGTAGATAGTCCTAGCACAGATAGTCCGAGCGTAGATAGTCCAAGCATAGATAGTCCAAGCACAGACAGTCCGAGCGTAGATAGTCCAAGCGTAGATAGTCCAAGCATAGATAGTCCAAGCACAGATAGTCCTAGCGTAGATAGTCCAAGCATAGATAGTCGGAGCGTAGATAGTCCTAGCATAGATGGTCCGAGCGTAGATAGTCCGAGCGTAGATAGTCCGAGCGTAGATAGTCCTAGCACAGATAGTCGGAGCGTAGATAGTCCTAGCACAGATAGTCTGAGCGTAGATAGTCCAAGCATAGATGGTCCGAGCGTAGATAGTCCTAGCACAGATAGTCCGAGCGTAGATAGTCCGAGCACAGATAGTCGGAGCATTGCTGGGTTGCAACCACGTGACCAAAAGCGGGCGTGGCAAGGGGCATTAGGACAGGAAGTATTTTTCCCCTATTAAATAGAATGGGTGATGCAGGAAAACGCACAGGAGCTTTTCATGGGTTAGTATCACTCTTATTTTGAGTGAAAACTATTTTCAATGCAGCGTACGCCTTTAGAGTTTGAATGAGTCCAGTTTTTTCACAATGAGAATAAAGCAGCTGTTATAGTGACAACAGTGGGGCACAAATGTTACTTTTAACAACATTTGAGGCGAGAAATATGACCCTTTATTGTCATTTTGGTGATTTGTTGAGCTGTAAACAACAAAAAGTTCGGACTGGAGGGAGCTCCGTAGCGTTAAGCTAACAGCAGTAAGCTAACAGCGGGGGCAGCTACGAACGCAGCCGTCCTGGGCACACAGTGCTAGGATAAAACTTCAGTCATGACCCTGGTCCTCACAGACCCAGACCCTGGTCCTCACAGTTGTGGGAAAACGATGGACAATAAATCTCATAACACAATGACTAGATAATATGTGAGAAGACTTAAGATTGTACATCCTGCCTTTAGCTTTGTTATACATGTTTTTTTTTTTTTACTTTTTTTCACATGTACATGTTGGTTTGACATGAAATATGTATTTAACAGTTCTTTCCCTCTGTTGTCTCGGCTGCTGTTATGGTATACCACACTAAAATACTATCAACTGTGTCTGTGGCCGTGGATGCTAAGTAAGCTAATGCTAATGCTAACGCATTTATTCCTTTCCCCGTTAGACCTTTTCCCAAAAATCGACACCCGTTACAGAAATAGATTTTAGCAAAATAGAGAATCCATAAGTTCCCCACTTGATATGAGCAGTTGCCACAACTGTACACTCCACAGAAAAAAAGCATTTTGACTCAGAATCAGTAAATGTTTACTTTGTTCTTAATGGGGAGATTTACTTCCTGTCCCTCTGAATACTTTCAACCTGTGCGTGTCGTCAGGTGCAACCCAGCAATAGATAGTCCGAGGTGGTCTCACAGGTCTCTCCCCCCATTCATTTAAACGAGTGACTTCAAAAGTCCACAGCGACTAAACTAGACTGGTCCAGAACACTCAGCATTGACACACATGTGGAACGGAGCTTTGGGCCAAGAGCCAACTTTTGGAGCATCCTGTAAAGACATTTTCCAGAGGTTAGCCAATGCTATATGTTAGCATTGGCTAATTTTTATTCCGGGTCCACCTCCTTCGGCCCAGGTTTGGTATTGCAGCCGGGACCCGCCCCCACTGGTTTAGCAGCGCTGTAGAGGATAGAGGACCCAGCCTCGTCTGTGATTGGCCTGAGTTCATACACTGCAGGATCAATGAGTTTTACATTGAATTACAAATTATAATACAACTTGTATGTAGTAATAAGCATCTTTATGAACTCCTTACAAAATAGATCGGGTATAGCTTCTTTAAGGCTCAGTCAGAATGTGCTCAGATCAAGGCAAGGCAAGTTTATTTGTTTAGCACAATTCATACACTAAGGCAACTCTATCATTACTTTTCCTGTGTCTGAACTGATTCTCTGATCTGTGTTGGCGAATTCAACGATTTTTAAAATCCTCGAGAAAACTACTGCTGTGATTTAGGGCGATATAAAACAAATGTAATTGAATGAAAAGAGTATAGAGTAGTCGGGGATACTCTGTCCTCCCACGGTGTGAGCTGCAGAGTCTGAGGGAAGCCCTTTCCTGGAGAGGCCTACAATCTATTATTGAGAGCCCTGGACTCGCTCTGGTCACGTTAAATGGTCTTGTAAAGCCAGCGGGGGTCGTGTTAGACCCATGTCCGCCCTGTGTCTCCTGAGAAAACTGCCTCTCGCGCCTCTCCTCCTCTCCCCAGTCCCCTCTTTCCCCTCTCCTCCTCTTCTTTCTTTCTTTTCTTCTTTTTAACTCCTGGTTGATTTGGTGCCCTCAGTGCTTGGCCGGGCTCGCCTTATCTCCCTCTCGCAGCCTCTCATTTGCAAGCGAGCGCGAAAACAGAAAGTAAATAGGCGAATATGTGAAGTCGGATAAATAAATAAATAAATAAAACCGGGGAGCGTGCACGTCTTGTCCTGTCTAAGAAGGAAATTGGAAGGATTAGTTCCAAACCAGCAACAATGAAAAGACAGGGGGGCGTGGGGCCGGTGTTGCATGCTGGGTAAACAAGGCAGGGATGGGTGCTCTGCCTGCTGCTGCCGTTGTGGATTCCCCCCCTTTTGCTTTGGTCCCCTCATTAGCCATTCCCTTCACCTAATCAACACGACAAAGGAACACAGGGATAATTTAGCCACCTTTGAACCGGGCCTTTTGAAGCTCCGTGTACGCCGTGTGTCGGCCCCGGAGGCAGAGCGAGACACTAGGAATTAACGTGACGCCGGTTTCGCAGTGTGTTTGCAGAGCAGTCGGCAATTACAGGTCGGAAAAACTTTGATACGCTGGTTATGTGTTTACGGTTTGGACTTTGACCTAGTTCAAGTGCAGGCGGCTTTTTAAGTGACGATAAATAATGTGTTTTAAGTGTGGCCTTGTGGTTAAACGGGTCGGTCTTTCCTTCGTTCTTATGTTCATACACAGGGTTTGTTCATTTAATTCCAATTCAACCTGATTTATTTTTGTGTTGCCCTAAATCCCAACTGTAGTTATCAATTCGCCAACACAGATCAGAGAAACAGACTTCAAACACAGAAAACGCAACAATAAAAGCGGATAAATGTGGTTAAATGTCCTGGACCATGACCATGATGGAGGCTGAATGGCGTTGGGAGAATATTAATATCTGGAGAAGGTTTCCCTCGGTGTCTTTTACAGGCTTATACGGTAGCACAGGGTCCGGGGGACTTGGCTGCGGGGGTCCAGTCCCTGTAGGACCAGAGTGACCAGAGTGCATGATGGTCCCCCCCAGGACTGCCCTTTGTCACCGCTTCTGTTTAATGGACTCAATTTCTATCTACAGCCAGGGGCCCAAGAAAGTCCAGTTTGGGGACTTCAGCCAGGGGACAGAGGAAGTCCAGTTTGGGGACCATAGCCAGGGCCCAGAGGAAGTCCAGTTTGGGGACCTCAGCCAGGGGACAGAGGAAGTCCAGTTTGAGGACCATAGCCAGGGCCCAGAGGAAGTCCAGTTTGAGGACCTCAGCTAAGGGCCTGAGAGAGTCGAGTTTGGGGACCAGACCAGGATCAGAGGAAGTCCCAGTGATCTAGTCATTGCGTTGAGACTCTGACAACTCAATACTCAGATGTTAGAATCCAGCAAAGAACAAATTGTTGCATTACTTGTGTTGCTTTTGTCGCTCAAGCTCGATCTTGAGAGCAGTAACCTCTCTCTCGTGCCACACCACTGTACACATTTGAACTTCCATCATCCTACACAATTACACACACACCTCACTGCAAACACTACACCTTTAATTTGGGAGATCTTTCGGCTGCTCCCCCCCTGGCTCCCTGCGTGTGCTCATTACCCATTCCTCCGCCTAATCAAGATGACAATGCCAAGACAAGTACAATTCATCCACCTTTGAACTGGGCTTTTTGAAGCAGCTCGCATCCCGCCGAAAGCCCCGGAGGCCGTGCGGGGAAATAATTGATTGTGTTGTAGAGACTTGAAAGCGTTGACTCGGGGCGTGCGCATCAGACAAGTATGCGTAAATGTTCCAGCGCTTGTCAATGATAGATCAATCTCTCATTTTTGCTCCATCTCTCTGGCTTTCTCACCCACAGCTATGGGCGTGTCTATGCAACAGCGGACCCCTACCACCACACGATTGGGCCGGCCGCCACTTACAGTGTGGGGACTATGGTGAGTGTTTAACAAACCGCTTTGTGCAGACTCATAAATGTGCATTGTATATGTGTGTAATGTGTATTATCCAAGGTAAGGTTGTGGCACTCACTGTACAAGTTTCATTTGCTAATATACGACGTAGCAGCCTGAAAAAGAAGAAAAATGAAATCTCAAACATTTTTCAATCAAATGTCTGTTGCTTAAAAAATACAGGTTTTAATGTAATGTTTATGTATTAGGGTTGGGGTTAGGGACACTAAACAGGACATTAATCAGCACTAATTGGACCAAAAATACTAATATGTTTGAAACGGGATCCACCAAAAGAGAGGGCTTTGAAATCTAAAGCTTATTTCGACACCCCCGTCCCTTCTGTCCAAATGTTCTGTTTTCAAAGTAAATCCTGAGACTGTGACGTCAGGGACAGAGCTGTTTTGTACTTTTTAAACAAACATATTATGCGTCTAAAATAGTTAAACAATGTATTACTTATTTATTTTTTCACGGCCGTCAAATAAAAGTGTTGTTAAAGTAAATTGCTTTGGTGATAGAATAGAATGTAATGTCTTATATCTACCACTAGATGGAAATGAGCAGATTCTACTTTAAATCCACAACAATTCCACAGAAATTCCAGTATTGCATCACCATATACAGAATAGTAGGAATGAGGAAGAAGAAGAAGCTAGTATAAAATCTTTAATGTTAGCATAATAATAAGGAAGCAAATATAAAATAGCGTGGATTACTCTTTCTATTGGGACTAACAAAATGTATTATTCATTAAACAAACCAAAAAATGTATGTACCCCAGCTTTAATGAATTGATTCTAAAGTGAGCCTCTCTCGGCCTTTGCAACCGTCTCGTATCCTTTCAAAAGACGACAATTCAATCTCCACTATTTGCTCCGAAAACACCAAACCAACCCCACAAAGCCTGGATTTGAAATTCCTTTTAACGGGTCCAATAAGAAGCCGCGAGTCCTGTTCATAATTTGATAATCCGGGTTTAAGCGCGGACTTCAAAGCTCGCAGTTCATGTTTGATGCAGCGTTTTTAGGTCACCGTGTTTTGGAAATCGAGCGTTAACCTCCACCGCACGGAGCAGTTCAAAGTCCAAAAAGACACACACTTAAAATAAAAAAAGCGGGAAATCTATTTTTAAACATCGGCGCATCATTATTTGAACAATCACCGTTATTTCTTCAAAGTGAGTCTTATGAACGCTCGCTCCGGTTCAGGGTTTATTTGAGTTTGCTCTTTGATGCCGAGTCGTAATCTTAATGATCTCGGCGAAGGCATTGATTCCTCAGTGGGTTCATTTTCGACAAGTTTTCGTTGTATCATTGCACAAAAGAAGTTAAAAGACGCCGTTTTACAAGATTTTGCAGACTCCAAACGGACAGATTCTGCCAAGATGTAGCTTGACTTTATTTCCTCGTTCGCTGCTTGTGCAATACCATAATAGTTTGCGCCTCGGTGGGTCTCGACGGATAGCTAACTGTATGGATCTGTTATTTTGGCCGGTTGCAAATAGAACTTGTTTGGCTAGCTAGCTCACCTTCTGGGAGTCTCTGGGCTAACTGGCATCAAGACTTTACCACTGATTGTTTTTTCAATCCTGGAAAAAAAGCGTCTTGTTTTAGAGATAGTCCAGATAGTCCTGGATGCTTCTAGAAAGTGTTAGTTCTCAGTCAGTCCCTTATTTCTCTGGATTAAATTAGGGAATAAGTGTAGGTATGGCTTTGTTATGAATCCATAAAGGACCCTCCCGGTTGGAATGAAGCTAAGGCATGAATGCTAGCCCTCGATAGTTTTCTTGATGGTGTTTTTGGGTCCAATACTCCTGGTTGGTATGAAGCTAATGCTAGCCCTCAATAGATCGGAACCGTGTGTATATTTTTAGCATCTTAACAGTTAATAATTCTCACAGAACTTCAAACTAGCTAACATTCAAAGTTCTAAATGGATGAATTAGCTTATACTAACAGCTAGCAGCTACATCGAATATATCGTGATGCTAACCCATATCAGCATCAGGGCTCGCCAATACACGATTGATCGTTACAGCCCTGGACATTTTATTCTGCTAATTTTACATCTGAATATTTATTTTAAAAAGCAATAAAAAGTTCTGTCAACGACGTCACAGTCTGAGGATTTATCTGGACTGAAAAATGTGTGTAGTCTCTGGCTCCTCACATTAGCATGGATCAAGCTAGCAACCATGTTATTAAAAACAGACATCAGGCTAACATGAGGAAGTACAAAAACTCTCAAAACTAGCAATAGCAGTTAACTTATTTTGCTAACCTTGCGTATTACCGGTTAGCTGCTACAGTATGTGCCTTGCTTGGACTTTATAATGACAATACAGTTGAATCTTATCTAAATCTAATCTAAAACGTTTTGTGCTGAAGCTAAGAGACACTTTAGAGAAGAGAGAGCGTATGTACTGTCGAAATTACAACCAAAACAACACATATATTTGAGCTAGAGCCAAATTCACCACAAATCCCTGGATTATTGCCAATTCCCAAAACATGGCTGCCTCCGGTGTGTTAGCAAATGAACTTTTAATCCTGTAAAGGTAAGACAATACACACAACTCTCACGTCATACAGTGATTTTTGCATAATTGCATTTTTCTGTCATGGTTTTTCTTTTGGGAATTTGAACATTTGCATTTGACCACAGACGTGTGAAGAATACTGGACACGATCAAATGTAGTTTATCAAGAATTAGCTGTTCTCGATTCAATCTTTTACTAAACTAATGTGACAAACAGACAAAAGACCAAACAAAACATTTCACCGGGAGTTTTCTTGTGAAGGAGTTTATAAAGTTATTGGACACGACTGTATAAAACGTCCACATTTTTGTACAGTTTTGGATCAGAGCAATAGCAGCTAAATAAGTGAATTAATGATATCCAAATCTGCTGTCATAAAATTAAAATGGTGGACTCCGTAACTTTTAAAATGGGGTTTGCCACCTCTCGTATGGTAAAGAATGACTTGTATGAAGCTAGCATGTTTAGCGTCATTAAAACCATGTATGTCCTGCTTATACGGGCGTACGTGCTAACTCCAATGCTAATGTTCCCTTGCTAATCATTATAGCATTGTTTATAGGTATTTTTTTAGTTTCTCCAGATAAAAAAAAACATTCACCAACAACAAATGTGATCGTTTTAAGAATATTTACCTCCACCTTGTTTTTGACGTATAAATGTCCGTGAGGCGGAGGAGTCTCTGTGTGAAGCCGCCATCTTGGAATACAGTGGTCGATAAGGGACAAAAAGGACTTTGAGCGGGAGTTGGGGACTACTGTCAAAGACCACATATTGTCCTGTGACAGCCACCGTAGTACCGTAGATTACAATATATGATGTCAATGCTAGATGGGAGTAAAAACTACACAGTGCTCATTTAAGTCAAAAAGAGATGATTATGAATGATAATAAAACATGTTCCTAATCTAAGTCTGTGTAAACATTATCTGTACTTTGGTCGTGTTTCATACGTGTCCACTATTCTTCCACCGTCTCTCGCATCTGAACATCTGAACGCTGCTGTGTTGGTTCTGCATAACGTCAATCACTCATTTATTTTGACGATTTCTGTCAAAAAGCAACAACAAATACTTTCACGAAGGGATGGAGCTGAAATGTTAATGTTTGTTTTTAGCTAGCTTTTGCAGCATCAAAGATGAAAACCCCAGATAATAAATAAATGAAACTAAAGGGTATCTCTCTCTATATATATATTTTGTAAAGAAATGGCTATATCTGTGTTTGGTTTTGTTTGAAGAAGGGTCCAGGCCAAAAGCTGGAGATTAAGGGCGATGCATGCAGCAGTGTGCCGCGGGACGGGAGAGAAACAGCCTCTCCGCTTTTTGAGAAATGACTCAAATTTAGCATTCCGGCATGCATACGATTTTTCAACATCAAAAGTACATAGAGTTCCCCGGTGCAGCTGCTAGCTAAAAGCTTTCATTAATTAAGACATTTGTTTTCTTCTTCATTTACCTAATTAAAAAAATGTGCTTGAATGTTTTATTTTCTTTATTAATTATATATTTTTCCCTCCAAATCTCCTTCCACTTTCTCCGGTGATAATGTTGTGATAGAGAGTTAAAATGCTGGTGTGTGTTTGAGCTGAGGAGCTAATGGCGTCTCGGGGGGAGCGTGTGTGCGCCGGTTCTTTAGACAAAGTGAGGACCTAACACTAGAACTCCCAGAGCAGTCGTTGTGACGGCTACGTTCAAATCAACCCAAACTATTTTAGGTTTTCACTATTTTTATGAGGATAAAGCAATGTTTTTTTTTCTTTATAATGCTTTCTCTAAGCTCA